CGGTCAACATAAAAACAACTGAAGAGTTGAAAGGGCGAAGAGTTGAATAAGTGAAGAATTGAATAGGTGGAGAGTTGAATAAGAGGAGAGTTGAATAAGTGAACAGTTGAATAAGTGAATAGTTGAATAAGTGAAGAGTTGAATAAGTGAAGAATTGAATAAGTGGAGAGTTGAATAAGTGATGAGTTGAATAAGTGAAGAGTTGAATAAGTGAAGAGTTGAATAAGTGATGAGTTGAATAAGTGATGAGTTGAATAAGGTAAGATGAATAAGTGAAGAATTGAATAAGTGAAGAGTTGAATAAGTGAAGAGTTGAATAAGTGAAGAGTTGAATAAGTGATGAGTTGAATAAGTGAAGAGTTGAATAAGTGAAGAGTTGAATAAGTGACGAGTTGAATAAGTGAAGAATTGAATAAGTGGAGAGTTGAATAAGTGGAGAGTTCAATAACTGAATAGTTGAATAAGTGAAGAGTTGAATAAGTGATGAGTTGAATAAGTGAAGAGTTGAATAAGTGAAGAGTTGAATTATTGAAGAGTTGAATAAGTGAAGAGTTGAATAAGTGTAGAGTTGAATAAGTGAAGAGTTGAATAAGTAAAGAGTTGAATAGGTGAAGAGTTGAATAAGTAAAGAGTTGAATAAGTGAAGAGTTGAATAAGTGAAGAGTTTGATAACTGAAGAGTTCTATAAATGAAGAGTTAAATAACAGAATGATTGCCACGCGTGAAACATCTCGGTCCGGCAATTAGCTTAATGCCAGAAAAGTGTCTCTCCCACCTGAGCTCCGGAGTAATGACTTGTTTTTAAAAATAAATTTTTTGTTTCAAACTCGCGTAGCAATTTGGAGATAGCCAAAAATGATCCTGCGCAATCATTTGACAGGAGTTTTCCTTAATCTCTCATCGCTCCATGTTGTGGATAATTTTGAGTTTCGGGATCGTTAAATGCGAGGGAAATGTTGTGTTGTAACTAAATTAAATCCAACAGAGAAATTTAATAGCGATATTATGCCAACCGTTTTAGCATGATAAATTCAGAGTGTTTATGAAGGGGTACGTCTGAATTTTTGGCGGATCCTAATGCTCAGAAATTTTAGTTCTGATGCTTAGAAGTTTGGGTTCTAAAGATCAGAATTTTGAGTCCTTATTAAGCTCAAATGTCGCAAGGGTAGAGAAGTTATCTCAGTGTCAAGCGGATACCTGCAGCAAAACCATCCCTAAAAAATACAGAGAGTTGGCCTTGCTTCACTGCTAAACTATTAAGTAACCTCGCATTTTAAAATTAATCCTTTCATATCTGCTATTTCATGTTAATTGCCATCGGTCAATACTCTCAGCCAAAAAAATATTTAAATATAAATTCAGACGACTCCAGGAATATGAGAAGCAAAGCGAGATATCTATGGCAAGGGCTATCATTGGTTGTTTCTATAATGGTTAAGTGGAAAAATATTGCACCGATTTGTGACGATGTGAATTTGACACAAAACTGGAATTTGTTTTTAGTTTTGGATTGAAATTGAACTTTTATTTAATTTCAAAAACCATTTCAACGTTATTCAAATAAAAACCCTAGCCAACCCAAATTTATCACGGAAATTCTTTTTGACTCCTGTTTCAGAATTTGAACGGAACGTCATCATATATCAACGTTAAAAATGACTAATCCCATGTAAAAGAATTACGTGATTATTGTCGTGGATAAGCACACGCTTATCCCCATGTATATTTTTCAGCACCAGGCTTCAAAAAAGAAAGAAACTCATGCACAAACATGTTATACATTAGTCATTATTTGTCTGTTTGGAGCGGGGCGTTGGAAATGCATGGGGATTATTGGGACGAGTGTCCACGATACTTATCGTGTCGGGATATTACATGGTAATAAAGTTTCATATTTTACCGTAAAATCATGAGACATTGCAGGACGTCGGTGGATTTGGATATTAAAATTTGATATGTAATTTTATCGTTGGTAGATATAAATTTTATTGCCTTATATTACAATTAACTTTGAAGTTTGTTATAGTTCCAATTTAAAACTGGGAGTTCTATGCTGAATGTGGGTCGGACGGGCCTCACGTTAATGAACATACCTAGTTTCGAACTTAATTAATTGATTTGGGATGACGGGATTCGGCATGACGAGATTCGAGCTGACGATTGAGTGATGAGATTTTGGATGAGAAGATTCTCTGTGTTGTAATTTTCATATTGATTGAATTATCTAGCGCGCATCGCTGGTGAGTCTGCTAATAAATCGCATTGTGTTATTTTAATTGAGGTTCAAAAATCTGACGGAGAATGTTCTCTGTATTGTAATTTTCATATTGATTGAATTATCTAGCGCGCATCGCTGGTGAGTCTGCTAATAACTATCGCATTGTGTTGAGGTCCAAAAATGTGACGTGGAGAACAACAAAAACTGTTTGAACTTTACCATTTACAAACATCCTTCGCGCATTTAACGTGAAGTTATTGGACTAATGAACGCAGAGAATATATGAATTATAAACGCATTAAAATAAAAAAATATAAAGTCGCTGATTCTTCATGACGAGCGATAGATAGAAACACGATGCTTTACAAAACAAAAGTTCGCTTCTTACAATAACAGTTTTCTGGTTCGCCATTTTTTATTTATTAATTTAACTATTTTTGTATTCTGCCAATGGTTACAATATGTTTGCTGCACATAACATGTTGGTTTGCTGCACATTTGCTGTATGTTTGCTGCACATTTGGCTTCAATTAATCTTTAATTATTTTAACCATATTAATTTTTTGACCGTCAGTCTGCTGGTCCGTGGTGAGCTCTGCGCCTGTAGCGGGACAGCCTCTGCACTCGCCAGGCGTCCTGCTGCACAGTCTCAGGCGAGTGTCTTAATTTCGTGAAATTTCATCTATTTTTTTCTCCACAAAGCCCTAAGATTTTTTAAATTTGAATGAGTTGTCTTCCACAATATCCTAAAAGTACTTGAATTCAATTTATTTATCCTCCTCAATATCCTCAAATTCTTGAAATTTGATTTAATTGTCTCCCAAAATATCCTAAAATTATCTTTTCTATTTATTTATCCTCCTCAATATCTTGAAATTCTTGAAATTTTAAGAACTTGAATAACTTACAATGACTTTACATAATCCCCTCAAATTCTTCAAATTTGACTTATTTGTCCTCCACAATTTCTTCCGATTCTTGAAAATTTGTTCCTTTGCTCATGTACTGTTTCAGTCACGGCAATTTCTTTCATACAAACATAAAATTATGTTATGAATCCCCGAACAAAAAAAAGTAACAATAGAGCCTTTTTCTGAACAATGCTCGCGAAGCCGTTTGATTAGTTTTCCAGAGAGATGCTCATGTGCCTTATACAATATAGGCGTCCTCTACACACGATGACGCATCATGACATATTAGTAAGACTACTATCCTCGTATACGTATTAGTAAGACTACTATCCTCGTATACGTATTAGTAAGACTACTATCCTCGTACGTGGTGTAACAAATTTCAAGATTACGGGATTAGGAATAATTTTTTCTCATATTGAAAGAATTATCTATCCTGGAACGCTGGGCTAACCTGTCAGTCTCTTGTAAATTTCAGAAGCAGGGTTTATTAGAAAAAATTTCTCTATATTTAATACGACGTTAATTCGAGGATCCGGATTACTGCTATTTCACATCGTGAGGGGTCAAATTTGCTACATTCATGATTCTTCAGGGTTTTTGTCTGCTGGCCTTACAATACGGGGGTTAAAAACAATTACCAAATGACATTTTAATAGAATTCTAAGTTTTGAATATATGCAGATATGGCAAATTTTTTAGGCTATAGGACACAGCGAACCATGGTAATCCAGATTTTAGCCCAGCTGCTGATGACTTAAGCCCTAGTCCCTAATAAATATGTGTGCACATCGTAGTCATGTTCGTTGTAGTGCGGCGGCGACCACAAAACGCTTAAGGTGCTTGTACACGGGGACAGTACTGGCGGCTAGTAGATCAGAAAAGTGCCAAAAGTCGGCCGCTTGGTGTCTATCCCGCAAGTAAGCTTAGACACGAGGCAAGTTTATGGTGCCGCCGTGCCGGTATCTAGTCGATCGTTACCGGCACGGCGGCAGACATTTGACACTTTTCTGATCTACTAGCCGCCAGTACTGTCCCCGTGTACAAGCACCTATAGTGTGACAAGCGAGTTCAAAATAATGCCCGCTTCAACGTAACGCTCGTCGCCAGATCTCTTAGGTTCTTTGAGGCAATTTCACGATTCCATTCTGAATTTAAATGAAAAGAAACAGCAAATTTAATAATTCTTAAATTCTTAAATTTGAATTTAAGAGCATAAAATAGTTCGTTTAAAAATATAATTTAATACCGATTAACAGCTCCTTATATACGAGGAAACTCGATCTATATTATGCCATTCAACATTTGTATAATGGAAAAGAAAGAGTTACGATAGTTTGGTGACAGATTTGTGAAACTTATTCGTAAGTGTTACATAATTATAAGACGTAACGATTCATTAATTCATCAAAATAATCTAAGCATTCATAGAAAGTTTTATTTAAGAAAATTCTTTCTCTGCTATGTTCATTCAATTGAATATGGCGTCCACATGATTAAATAGGAGGTCTCTCACGTCCATATCTTTTTTGATATCTATTCCACTCAATACATTTCAAGTCAAATGTTTTGATCGTAGTATATTAGATGCCATATTATACCGAACGAAATGATGTTATATATGAAAATTAAAAACATCTTGTTACTTTAGCAGGTTTGACAAACACCATACAACTTTAATTCACTTCACTCATCGTAAATAAAAAACTGATTAATTTTATGCACAGGTACGCGAGCGTTGCAGTGGTGGCGGCCACAGCTCTTCTGTGCCTCGCGGCGACCATTTCACTGCGCGCGTTTCTCATCGAGCGTCATGCGCACCAGCGTTCCTGCCGTGCCAACGTCACCTCGTAAAAATTGTGATTTTTGCCATCACGGGTAAGTTCATGCCTTTGGGAACTATAAAAAATAGTGATTTTTGCCATCACGGGTAAGTTCATGCCTTTGGGAACTCTAAAAAATCGTGATTTGTGCCATCACGCGTAAGTTCATGCCTTTGGGAACTATAAAAAATTGTGATTTCTGCCATTACGGGTAAGTTCGTGCCTTTGGGAACTATAAAAAATTGTGATTTGTGCCATCGCGGGTAAGTTCATGCTTATGGCAACTATAAAAATTGTGATTTTTGCTATCACGGGGGGTAAGTTCATGCCTTTGGGAACTATAAAAAATTGTGATTTTTGCCATCGCGGGTAAGTTCATGCTTTTGGGAACTATAAAAATTGTGATTTTTGCCATCACGGGTAAGTTCATGTCTTTGGGAACTATAAAAAATTGTGATTTTTGCCATCACGCGTAAGTTCATGCCTTTGGGAACTATAAAAAATTGTATTTTTTGCCATCACAGGCAAGTTCATGCCTTTGGGAACTATACAAAATTGTGATTTGTGTCATCACGGGTAAGTTTGTGTCTTCGAGAACCACCAAAAAGATCGATTTTAATTTCTAAAAATTATTGGCATCAATTATTAATCTTTTTGTTTTGGTTACGGTTTTTTATTAATGAAGTTACTTATTAACTATATTATTACTCACATAATTCGTGCATGAGTAATATGATCTAACTATGTAGTATGCAAAGTAAATGTGTTTATCGTAAGTTTCTTACGGAAGAGTGGTTTAGGTATTAGAAAAACATTATATTACAGAGCTGATTAAAATATGTGTTATAATAGTGTTTAACATGTGACACTAATGACATGCGTCACACTAATGACACGCATAATACTAATGGCAAGCGTGACACTAATGGTGTACGTGACATAATGGCGTAAAATACGCTAATGGAGCGTATGATATTAATGGTTGACGACCTCCTCCTCATGTTGTTGGGGGCGAATTTAGCAATCCATCTTCAGAAATGCCTCTTGCTGCGTGCAAGTCGCCTCACAATCGTTTATTTCACAAGTGTTACAGTATACGGTTCCAGTAGAGAAATAATGAGTTGGGTTTACACGTTGTAATATAAAATTGGGTGACCGCTTCTTACGAATAATAAATTTCTAACCAAATTTCAGCATATAAGTAAGTCAAATTTGACGATACGGAGAAAATTGAGTTCTAACCTTCGAAATTTGTTTTAGAAATGAAACTTCTGGTCGATCTTTGTTGTATAATCAAAACGTAAATATTAAGGTTTTCTTCTGCATAATTTCCTCACAAATATCATTAATATACGTGACTATAGTTTGATCTCACGTGTCAATGAAAATGATATTTGCTAACAAATTTGTTTCATTTTTATTCTCTGACACAATTTGATAATTTATACACAACAAAGTGAACTGTTCGAAGAAAATTTATCATCATAGTTTTGGAAGAAGAATTTAAATCTGAAATCCGTAAACTTAAATCTGAAATCCGAATATTTAAACTTAAATCTGAAATCCGAAAACTTAGAGAGCAAGATTTATTTAAATTGGTCAAATCAATTTATACAATGCAAAATTGCTTATTACTTCCAGGAAATTACTGAATTTCATTTGAACTGAGAAGTTCACGCACTTGAAACTTGTCATTTCTTAAATTTTTTAAAATTGCTCAGATTTATTTAGAATACGTGTAAACACTTACCACTTTCTGTAAATACTGGAGTGTTCGTGTGAATTCGTTGCCATTCGTACTCATAGTTGGCCGTTCGTGTGAATACTCTATTATTGTATGTGAATTCTGGGAGGACAAATCCAGCCAAACTGCAGAGCGTCGCGACAGGAGCACCGGTCATGCCTGGAAGGCTTGGGCCATCCATGGAAGCATTCCCGGCCAGCCAGCATCGTCCTTTATATTCCAGTTTTCATGAAACCATTCTCAGCCTGATGATGGCGGATAGTTCCTACACTTAAGCTAGTCTTACCTTTATGCTATTCCTAGCTGCATGCTAGTCCTATACCTTTAAAGCTAGTCTTACATTTATGCTAGTCTAATGGGCATGTTGACCTATTTCCTTTCGGCTCTTTCAGGCCAAAAAGAAATCTTTTGATTTAATACCTCAATGCTAGTCCTATACCGCTATGCTAGTCCTACATTTATGCTAGTCTTATACTTTTACGCGAGTCGTACCTTTATGCTAGTCCGACTATTGGGCTAGGGAGTGTTACTGAATCAAAATTCTCGTTGATCGATCTATGAACCACAGTTGGACCTAATTCGCATCTATATGGTTGCTATGCTGTTACCTCAAAAGTTTCATTATACTATTACCTTGCACTGTTATTGGCTCAGTCTACGGACACGCTGGTGTGCCTTCTTATCATCTGATGATGATCGCTGCCCGTCTTCGCCAACGGCCACGCTCGTGCTTTCTTTTCAAATCCTCTTCTCAAACGCGAAACAAATTTTGGTGTCGAGTTGATTGCTTTGAAACTCATTTACGATGAACTTACGATGGGAGAGGAACATATAAAATGCTACTGTTTTAGGTTTGGACAAAGTAAATGAAATTTATGATGTTTTTTTTATTTATTTCTGTGTTGATAGGCTACGACCTATGAAATTCGTGTCCTATTTTCCTTAAAATTATCAGTGTTAATAGAAAGGTCTAAAATTGATTGTCTACTGATTGTTATGCGTGAAATCTGAGGTGATATTTAAGATTCCAAAATAAAATTCAAGCCTAACGTAAATTGGAAACAAAAACGGAGGCGCTCCGTTGGTTTTGACATTGACTCCTCAGCGTCGCAAACAAGATATGGTGGCCATAACGGTGAACATGACAGAGTAATGGCACGCAGTTCACGCGTTTCCTCTAACTCACTTCACCCTCTTTACAATTTCGGCTGCTAAACCGGCGGCTGAAAGTCTTCTCCTATTATTCGACGAGAGCTTGGAAAGCACTTGCTCCTGGCTTTAGTATTGCTGTAGCTTCTCATAGTCCCGCAGAAATGCTGTGACTCACAGCTTTATGGACCATAGGTTCACGCAGCGACTGTGAGTCGCAATTTCGCTCGGCTTTACTGAGTTGAGGTCCGTATTCACGACCTGCGAGCTGCACAATATGCACGACCTGCGAGCTGCACAATATACACGACCTGCGAGCTGCACAATATGCGCGACCTGCGAGCTGCACAATATGCGCGACCTGCTAACAGTATACATTGTACACGAGGATTCAATCACCCTGGCACTCAAATGCCAATAATGGCTCTCAATAATCCCCTATTAACATTACGATAAAACATTGCAGTGCAGGGGAGTCGTTTTCAAAGGACCCGATTCATTACTGCTCGCTAATTACAGAGCTTTATTAGAGAAGCCAAGATTCCTAATGAGAAGCCAGGATCAACTTCGTCGGTCGTTAAAGCTTCGAGAAGTTCAGGAACCCTTCAGGAGATCGCTGATTTTATTTACGATCTTCGATGAATGAACCTAATTTCTGAGCCTAAACTTTGACGGCAAGAAGAGATGAAAAATTTCTTCTAATGCAGCCGGCTTTTAGGAAACCATTATCGCCACTCTCTACTCTTAATTGATAAATATTACCCCAAAAATTCAAACCGGGTTTTCATTTTGTTCCGAAAAGAACATGTCGTCTTTTTGTGCCTTGATTGACTTCAATTAGGAATTTAATTGAATTTTATTCAATCGAGGTCAGAAATAACGCACTTACCAGCTGCTCTCTTTTTCTTCTTAGGATTCTGATGCTGCTAATCAAATTTAGTTATATTGGAAAATTTGTAGGGAATCTTACAGGTTTGCACTGACCTCTCTCCTTCGTGTTATATTCCAAGGAACTCATACAACATATGTAGGCTTGTAATTTCCTGGTTTTATTTTACAATTCACGAAAAATATTCAACTAGCTATTCAGAACCACAATACAAATTTCATTGATTACTTAGGAAACATATAATACTTTTGTGTGAAAATTCCGTCATATTTATACATATTTCCGACAAATAACAGAAAAACAACGAGAAAACGATAGTAAAATAGTGTTTCCACGTAGTGTGCAATATGCAGATATTTGAATATCCAAGAATTTTATAGTGGTTAATGAATAAGAAAGTTTATTAAACTACCATCTGTTAACAATCTTCATAAAAATTAATACATATCTTCTACCACCTATTAACTATCTTCCATTCATAGTGCGCACCGACACTAGTGACTGCATAAATATTTGAGCCAAAAATAATTCAGACGTGTTAGCTTCATTTCGTTATAAATGTATCAATAAAGGATTATAATTAATATTAGTAAGATTTTTTTACGAACTAGAAATTAAACTACCTATTCCTAATACCTGGAAAATTATCTTTCATGAATATTTAACATCTAATCTACATGCAGTAGCGCTAACGGAACACAGACTTCATAGAAACAGAAATTTTGCCAGCGATCCTGCTCATTGTAAAATTCAACAGTTACGGAAACAAATAACTTCAAAATCCGATGAACTTTGCTGGGATCAGAAAATAATCAATCGAAATCAATTATGATTCGGGATCATCAATGCATCAGAAATTTAACTTCATTGTGTTCCTCTTGTGTTTCCTGGGTTCCTTCAATTTTAGGTGTGTTGCATTTTCCTTGCCAATTTTCAACCTCCATCTTACTCATGGAATTTTTGAATAATAATCTCTTATTATGCAATTTGACCGTCATTGAATTTTTCGTAACTGTTTCCTTGCCCTCAAAATCTTAAACAATATTTCTACTCTCTCTTTCAGGCATCACTATCTTAAATCTTAGATTACTCAAAATCTTAAACAATACTTCTACTCTCTCTCTATCAGGCATCACGTACTATCTTAAATCTTAGATTACTCAAAATCTTAGACAATACTTCTACTCTATTTCAGGCATCACTATGGGTGGCGGAGTATTCAAGTTTTGCTCGGCGGTAACGGAAAAAAGCAGCATGACGGCATCTTCGTCAGGCCACAACAGCGGACAGTTCTCCAGCTTCGTCCCAGCTCCGTCCGTCCCATCGTCCACTACGCTTCACTGGCCGCTACTGTTGGCCGCCAATTGCGTGGTGGGCTGTTTCCTGGCGGCCCTGGCCATCGGCTACACATTTTTTCTCACCTGGGACAAACAAATGATACTCAACTTCCTCACTAATAAAGGTGACAGCAACGATCACCTGATCATGAACGAAACATACGACTACTCTTCTTCTGCTCCACCTGCACCAGCCAACAATGAGAGGTGTAAACCGCTCTGCAGCCGTTGCAAAAACTCAAAAAATTGTTCCGCCACTCTCATAAATTCTTTAGTCACTAACAAGAACTTTGAAGTTAATAGGAGTCTAGCTCCTTACCCGTGCTGTCACCAGATCGAGTACTGCTGCAACAACCCAACTGTAAGCCAGCATAAGAGTCATTGCAATCCTCACGCCGAGGTGCATAATTTCTCACAGAATGGGAAGAAACAAACAAGTTATAAAAACAATTCTTCCTTCAACGATCACCGCATGCGCTGCAGTCAATGCCCTTGGGATCAGGCAATTCATTTTAACAGCGCCTCGTACCCACAATCTGCTAGCCTCATATTTGATGTAAAGGCTCCTGCACCGTATACAGGAGACACCACACAGAAGTTCTGGACTGTAGATGGTCATGCAAATGCAACCCAAGCGGCGCCCCAGAACTTGGGCTACTCTAATCATTTTGGTCACATTCACAATGAAGAATTATCTACAGTTTCTATAGATTTACGTGCAGGCAAGGAACCTGCGCATAAACATGAAAGCTTCAGTTATAAATTTTGTGACGATCCCATATGCCAACAAGAACAACTGAGATTCCACAGACAAAAATCCCTGGTCAACAGAAAGCTTCACAATGATGTTGAAGCAGAGTTTCAGTTGCGTCGTACTCGTGAATTAAATCCATTTAAAGAGGCTTGTGCCAGAGATTCGAGCTGGAATAATTATTCCGAAAATAGCAATATATCTAGTGGAAATCACGAACACATGTACAGCAACATCATGATGGAGAACTACATGACATCCATGAGCTCAATACACCGCCCCCCAGCAGACTATAGCAGTTACCCCTGCAAGCCGTCTCATTGCAGCAGTCACTGCGCATGTGCTCAGCGAGCGCCGTATTATTCATTTCGTCAGGCCGATTGGGACCAATCCATTCAGCCGAGCCGCAAGCAGAGATACGCAGAAGAATATTTTTTAGATACTGAAAAATCCACAGAATTGAATTTCTCGCAGGCTCCGCTACCCGGCTTTCGATACAATTGTTCTACCCTACCTGCAAAGTTTTCAGCCAAGCATTCGAATTTCCTAGAAGAAGATAGAAGTCAAGAAATGACGCGAGAATTCAAGTCTTGCGTGAACATCACAGAAGTTTCTGTGGGATCGCTTGATCTCATTAAAAGCAGTCGCTTGAACAGCTATCCACGTAGGAACTACAGCGCACCTTCCTTGAAAGCCAAAATTGACGAATTCGATAAAAGAAAATTAGTAAAGACTGTGAAATTTATCACGCCGCATGACGAAGACGAAGATGAAGATGATGAGGATTCAGACTCTGATTATTACATAAAGAGAACTCCTTCGAAAAATGTCAAAGACATCAAAAGAGTTTATCTGCCGGCAGACGGCAGCTCACCCATCAGGGAGCTCTGTAGCAGCAGCAGCACTTATCGCTAATGCCTTCATAAGCTATACTTGTCTGATTTTATGTACCTGCAATACATTAAAATATTTGGTATTTAGCATTGCGTGACGGTTTTATACTAGTATTTTTAATTTATTTCTTTTCGTACAATAGGAAGAACTCTATGACTTGCTGAGGCTAGTTTCAAACATTAAAATCAGACTCATTAATACACCGAATTTGATAATCTTAATAACTAAATAATCAATAATCATTAATAATCTTAATCTTAATCAGACACTAAACTTACATAGGTAAATTTGTTTTATACAATAATATAGTTGCATCTCATCGCAGATGACATCATTAAATAAACTCTACTGCTGTGATGGTTAACTACACTAACAACAAGAGCTGTGGTGGTGCAGTGGTGAGAGACTCTGTCTCTCGCACCCAGCGCCCGGGTTCGAGTCCCACTGAGGACAAGTTCTACCGGGAAGCTCAGCTCATGGTCAACTCAGCCATTCATACAACTCTGGGTGATAAATGCGTACCTGGCTTGTCCCGGGTGTTGTGTAATGCAATAAAATGGTTCTGGCGGGTCAGCGAGCCAGTGATGGTCGTGGAACTACCAGTGGCACCAAGTGCTCGGAAAAACTGACCTATCACCCCCCCTCCCTAGTCGCCACTACCAGGATGGGCAATTACAACAACAACAACAGTCCAGTATAAGCCGTCATTGCCTGGCTTGTCCAGGGTGTTGTGTAATGCAACAAAATGGTTCTGGCGGGTCAGCGAGCCAGTGATGGTCGTAGAACTACCAGTGACACCAAGTGCTCGGAAAAACTGACCTATCACCCCCCCTCTCTAGTCGCCATTACCAGGATGGGCAATTACAACAACTACAACTGTCCAGTATAAGCCGTCATTACATATCATAGGAGCTTCTTGAGCCAGTATATAGCGCGTGATGGCCAGTAAACTCAAACATGTTTGAGTTTAGTCACGCCTTATCACTTAAGTTTAGTCATCACGGTGAGCGGTGTTATTGTATCTTACGAAATCTGTTGAATCTTTTATTCACTTAATAATTCTTTGGTATGACAGTCAGCAAATATGTATAGTTGATGGACTGTGTTACTTATATTGAATTAGTTGATGGATTGTTAGTTATGCGTACAGCAACTAATATTATATCAGCGAATATAATTAGTACTAATATGTGTTTTTTTTTTTCATGTTGCTCACAATTTTAAGTGACTTCGATGTCGATGCAATTTTTATTCAATTTTTTTTCAATATAGTTACTTGATTGTTACTGACGATAAATGTAGCTACCAGGTTTTTCCATCCCAACAGCTTTGACGGCGGTTAATGTATGCCTAACCAAAGAGTTAGACTAAACATCCTTCCCATTGCCTCATATCTGAAAACTATCTGTTGTTACTCGCCTTTAACAAATGATAAAATATCCCGCACAAATAAGACAGTCCTGCTATTTTTAGCACATTTAGCATTTTTAGCATTTATGGAAAAAAAGGCGCTATTGTGCTCGTCATGTCCGTCCGTGACTACACGGACGGACGAGAAAATGCACTCTCTGTCACTCACTTTTATAGTATCGGGACCTAATGAATTTCTAATCGAAACCATGGCTATCAGAATCATACATTCGGGAGATTATGATAGAGAACACGACGACGAAGAGCATGTAACTGAACGCGGGAAGCAAACTGTAATTTCTTGCATCATTTTTCGCGAGTCATTTAATGATGCAGATGCTATAAAGCCCATGCAATGAGCAGTAAATTGCAAGAATTAAACCTGTCTCAAGTATCACGAGTTGTGCATCTTTGATCGCTATTGTAGCCTCAATAGTGTTCACTCATCTTCTGTATATATAGTGAGTCCTCAGATGATAATTTATCATTTGTTTTTAAATTTATTCATATCTGCTGTCAGTGCTGCTTCTTTACTTAATGTGGATCTGCACTGTGAGGCCGAGCCTCAAAGCTCATACAAAGATTGGATTCTAAATTGGAGATAATACTTAAAAAATAATCATGTCATCGGTTGATATTAATATTAGTGTCAGAAATTATTAAGTCATATGCGATATATTAATTCATGTTAATCTTTAAAGCTGATTATAATTCCCGCGATCAATTCAATGATAATATTGTAATGAGGCGCCCAACTACAACGGTCAGTTCTTGATAACATAAATTTTCTGTCGTTTTTACACACAGAAGTTGCAATGATTTTGTATTTAATTTTTTGATTTCTGCATTCCCACTTCAGATGGAGAATGGAATTGTAATCAAGTATTTATTATGAAAAATCGTAAAAACTGAACTCAACAGAAGCTGTTATTATTTTATAACCATCGAAAGTTTGAATCAACTACAGGAATTTAAACATCAAACGATGTGAACTAAGGTTAAGAAAAAATGTGTCGACTATTGTATAAGGTTCACCAAGAATTTAAAAGCAAAAAAATGTAAGTGCAACAAATCTTCAATGAAAACGGGTTGAATCTTTTAGTTTAAAACAATTGAACTTGCATGGCGTTTTCTTTGCTTGTAAATTCTATGGTGAGTTTGCGTTTCAAGCAGGCTAAAGATATAAGTATGTATAAGATAAGAATGATATAAGTATGGCTAATGCATGATATAAGTATGTATAAGGTTCAGGTGCATATACAAGCGAGGTGAGTGCAATAAAACTAAGGTTATAGTTCATGCAAGCTAAGCTTTAGAATTAGATTAATGCTTGGTTCCCAAACTTTTTCAGGCTGCTGCCCCCTTGTCTCCCCTGCGAATTCATATAGACCCCCCCACAGACACATATGTAAACAAACGCCTCTTCTTTGGTATTTGGTATGTTGCAATTTTAAATTAGGAAGGTTAAACACAAATGTGTATTTCACAAATAAAACCTAATTTAGTAAACCAATATATTTTTTAGCAGTTTTACCTATTTCAGCAGCATAGAGTGTTTCACCAACATAGCTCACACAACAGTGCATTTAAATAGCTAATTAATGCCTCTGATCTTTCCAACGCCACCAGGGTACCGCCCACTGCAGTGGTACCGTCCACTGCAGTGGTACCGTCCACTTCAGTGGTACCGCCCACTGCAGTGGTACCGTCCACTTCAGTGGTACCGNGGTGCTGTGCCTGGTGGTGCTGTGCCTGGTGGTGCTGTGCCTGGTGATGCTGTGCCTGGTCTGTCTCTTATACACATCTAGATGTGTATAAGAGAACGGTATACAGTCTCACGTTAAGATAATGCAGCGCAACAAATGTTAATTGATGGAGGCCCTTAACTTCGTCCTAATATCGGCTACATTGCATTATTATGTTAAGTAGGAAAATATAAACTTAACCGTCGAGGTCCGAGGATCGAACAGAGAAGCATTGACTGTGGAACATCAGACGAGAGACGTAACAAAGAGCTGTAAAATAGGACAATTTTGTTATATTTATTTGTTTACTTATATTATTATATTTATTGATTGTTTCTGGTTGGTTCCGAAAGTGAGTTTCCCTCTATAGTGCAGCTATAAGGACCTGATTAACCATCATCACTGCGTTAAGAATGGCTAACGTGTATTGTTTCATAATATTGAAGAAAGTAATACTAAATGATTTGCAGTAAAATGTAATATGAAAGGTTTAAATTACACGCATGTAATTTTTATTAGAAATTAATTTGAAGTAAATGAATTAAAACTTGAATACGGTGGACAAACGGCAGACATTGGCGTACACAAATGAAAGGAATGTGGGGAACGTTTTTGGAGTCCCTCTATAACACAAGCGTGCTGACCTCATTGACGGACATCACCGTAAAATAGCTACAAGGCCCCAATATTCATTTGAATGCAAATTCTATCAGCACNAGAGGCATTTTAGGTGGCCATATAAAGGGAAATTCATTAGTAGTAGGAGAAAGGCAGACTCCGACGCAAACGCAATTACAGTAAAGATTAAGGAAGAACTTCGCCCTTCCTCTCAGTTAAGGAATATTTATTGAATAGTTTAATCGTGATACGAAATTTAAAAGCCACAGGCCAATAGACTAATTTAAGTTGAAGGCTAAGCCCAAGCGAGTTCGGAGTCTAGCCTTCTAAACAAAGAAGTTCGAACTTGCAGTTAAATGCAAAAAATAACCATAACGAAAACAAAGAGTGATCACTCAAACGAAAAATAAGATATTAGCAAGGCATGGCTTAATAAATCATGAACTCCTGACGGAGCAACAATACAGTGGTCGTCACAGCCTTAAGTTCTAATCTTTCCTATTCACAGGTCCCTTCCTATCTAAGACTAAGAAAAAGAATCGTCAAATTGGACGATTCAAGAAATACGGAAATTTCTAACATTTCATCGGTTCATGATAAGAAAGTTGATGTAGAATCGAGGGCTGATGCTTCACATCACAACGTGTGGACAGGACGTCGGAGAGGCTGCACGGCATACGTTGTGTCCGTATTGATGCACTCAGCGTATATATCCTAACAAAAAATTTTACTTGTGTGAACTTGGAACGCGATATGTACTTTAGCCGCAACCTGCACTTAGGCCGCTACATGTATTGAGGCCGCTACGTGAGCTTAGGCCGTTTAGGCCGCTACGTGTACTTAGGCCGCAACGTGAGCTTAGGCCGCTACGTGTACGTTGGCCGCTACGTGCACTTGAGCAATTTTTGATAATTCGGCCCTGGTTGAATCATAAACACCTGCGAATCTATAAGAAAAATCTCAAATGATATGATATTTTCTATGGGATGATATTTCTGCGCTAATCGTTCGAGATTTGATATTAATTGCTGATAGTTAAAATAATATAGTTATAATATTTGCCATCAAATCACTTGAGTTACTTTGCCAGGTGAATGTATCACGTCTTTTTTCTTTGGTCCGTTTAGCAGCGGCGTCGAACTTTCTCCTATATTCCAATCTATGGGAAACATTAGAGGAACAATGATGACTCTAATAATCATAAGTTTACGCAATTAAACAAATCTTCTAATGCATAGAAACTATTAA